GGAAAAGGCAGACCCTCCATGTATTTAGAAAACAGAATCAAGTTTAGATGCAACTTGGTTGTCAATTATCAGCAATAGTTTTCATATAAAAAAATTAAACACCACAAGAAGCAAACATGCTTGTAAGATAAATAGATTGACCTCTAAGGTTTGCTTTTGGGCTGTAGCCCTGCACCTCTATCCAATCTGTTTCACAGTGAAGAAGCAGTGCCAGGCAAAGACGCACAAGGAGCAAGACGGATGGCACTGTGCCCGCCGGTGAGCCTGGGGGTGCACATGAGGGGCTCCAGGAGCCTCCAAGCAAAGGGCTGGCTGTTAGACAGAAGTGAGAGCTGCTCAGGAGTAGGGCTGCTGTGAGCACAGGAGGGGGAGTTGGGAGGTCCTGGGTCACCGGAAGTCTTACTAGGCCAGGATAGCCTAGGAAAAAAGGGGTGTTCTTTATTGTTGGAGGAAGGATGGGCGCGCACAGAGATGTGAGAGCTTGCGACACTTCAGGAGACACCAAATTGCACAGTCTGGGGAGGATTGAGGGCGGCTGTGAGCGCAACGTAGGCAGGCGGTAGTACAGGAAGGGGCAGGGAAGGGCAGGGAGGGCAGGGGAAGGTGGGGAAGAAGGCAGCAGAGACTGGTGTCCTTAGGACCTCAAATAGTGTCCTGAAGAGTGTGGAGCAAGCACCAAGGGATATTAATCCGGACCTTACCGTCTTACAGCTGAGATAGAGCCCATTGGCAGCCCTTTGAGACTGACATTTGATGGAATCAAGTAAATCTTGGATAAGCAGGAAATCTTTTGGTCTTCCCTCCTCCCCAGAGCTCCTCCCCATTCACTTCTAGATATTAGACTCTCCTCAAGGCAGAATTATATGAATGTGTGGTTACGTACATATACTCTTTGTCACTGTTCCTTTAGTGTAGCTAGTGACATTTGTAACTCATCTACCTAGAATCTTTTGTAGTGCTGATAGGGACCTAGAATCCTCCCTAGTAAGTTTATATTGGGGGAATAAAACTTTTAGTTTGTGACCCCCTGAACCATTCAGGGCATAATTCACAGGCGCTGTTTCTGAGACTATTAGAAATAACTCAAGCAGGTAACACGATGGAAACTGCAGTTCTCAAAGGCAGAACACAAAGGACTGTGATAAGGGCTGAACTGGGAGTCCCTTAGCATTGACTAATGATGGGCCATACTGCTGCCAAGTGGGGCTTTCTTTCCCCACTCTCTGTCCAGGGGCACTGTACCTGGGAGGAGGGGTGGCTGTGGGGAGGAGCCAGCCTATTGCTTAGAATAGCTGGAAGGTGCTCTTGTGACATGTGTGGTACCCACACTGAGGACATGAAAGAGTGGCTTCTGTGCTGAGGACAGGAAAGAGTGGAGGGCACTCTAGGGACTTTCAGGCACTGGCTATGTCAACTCTTAAGAACGTATTTTAATATTTTGTAATATTTACTGCTATACCACTGAATTCCAGCCAAATTTCAGACCTGAATATTTGACTCTTGAGATAGATGGACCTCCAATGCCTCGCCCTCTACTGTGCTTTGGAGAAAGATGTTTCTGTTTTCTCTAAACACGGGTCTACAGTGATTTCTTCAGCCTGCACTTGAGTCTCTGCCTCTCTCTCTCCTGAGGAACGCCCTGATTTGCAAAGGTAGCAAAAACTCTCAAGTTACCGTAAGTCTGCTCTGTTTAGCTTTTTGAGTTTATTGTGGGAGATTAAGGGTACCACAACTGCTGGGGCCGAGAGTTGCAGATGTAACCTGGAGGAGAGAGAGGTGAGGAGCTCAAATGAAGCGTAAATCAAGGCGATTAAATCAAGGTGATGAAGTGAGAGGAGGAGACTCTTCACAGGGTAGCGGAGTGGTGGAAAGAACAGGTTCAACAGCTGACTTTGAAATCATCCTTTGGAGTGAAAGGGAAGCTTGTGATGGGTCAAGTGCCAGCCCGAAGTGACACGGAAGGTGATGATGCAGCTCCTAGGCATTCACAGTGGCTGATATTTGGGAAGGGTTTTGTCGCTTTGCCCTCAGTTTACTTATCAGCAAAACAGCCCTCAGGACTACTCCACAGGTGCAATGAGATGACGAAGGTAAGGGACAAGCATTCCACAAGTGCGCCATGAATGGGGCTTCGAGAGAGCTGGCTTAATAAAACTGTGTAACCAATAGTATCGCAAATTTTTAAGGTCATTTTAGTCAGTTTTTACATTTGACTGTATATCTCATCAATTTTTTCATGGTTCTGTGGAACAATTAACTCTAATAAAAAGGTTCTATCTCAGAATCTAGCCATCTCCTAGTCAGTATGAACTTAAAAGATTTCTATATTAAAACCTGTCCCACTAACAGGTTAATTAGCTTCCAGTCAAACTGCCTTTCTAAACTTCTTCTTCATCTATGAGCAGCTTTTCACCTCTTTTAAACCTGTAAATGGTTGTGTGGCACTGTTTACAGGACAGATTACTATTGTAGGTTATGTCACAGTCGGAATGGGAAAAGTAACCTTTAGCACTCTTTCAGTCTTCCTTGCTGTCTGATATTGCCTCCTCCTTCCTGCCTCCCACAAAGTATTTTAGCGCGGTGTGAGTGTGAAGTCGTTTGTATGTTTGAAACCACAGATGAAAAGCATTTGTACTTGAGATCACCTGACCAGAATGTACAAAGGTGACACACCTGCATACCGCAGGGCATGGCACGCTGTGCTTTCTTGGCGAATCTGGCTTGCCACATATTTTTGGATGGCTCCTAAGCTAAGAATAGTTTCCATCTATTGAAATGGCTGAAAAGAAATCAAAAGAACACTTTCCTATGTACCAGCTGTGAAAGAAGATATGCCCTAAGATGAACATGCAATTTCACCAGCGATCAACATTAGCAGACCAACACTTGTAATGAACTCTCATGATAGGGACTCAGTGTAAAATCAAAGTAAAATAGAATCTCAGCTACTCTCAGATTTATTTCTGTCATTATTAGATCTGTACTACAACAGAATATATTCAGTGACTTATATATTTTAAATACTATCAATAAAGGATCATGGAAGATTTTTTTCTCTTGTTTACTAGTACTTATATAGTAACCTAGACATTGCCACTTGACCTGCAAGATTAATAATATATTTATGATCTGGGCCTCTACAGAAAATACTCACCAAGTTCCGATTTATAGTGCCAATTTATAATACTATTGAGGGGGTTGTTTCTGTGAGTGATTTGTTGTTATGGTTTGTATCTAGATGTCCCCTAACCCAAAACCTTATGTGGATGTAGGAGGGGCTTTTATAGAGGTGGTTGAATCTAAATCATGTGATTGATTCAGAGTACAATGCCAGGATTAAGGGGGGGATGATTTCTATATCAGTCCACTCTGATCCTACTACCCTGGATGCACTATCAAGTTTCTCTCTTGCTTGTTTTTCTGTCTTCTGGCTGCTATGGATGATCGTTCCTCCTCGGCAATGCCTGTCTGCCATGCCGCACAACCTTGGAGCCAGCTGATTATGGACTGAAACCTCAATATGCAGAGCTAAATAACCCTTTCTCCCTTTAACTTTGGGTGTCAGGTATTTTATATCAGCAATGATAGAAAAGGAATTGAGACCCTTGGCCATAATACCCACTCATTGAAACAAATGCCAGTCATGGCATTGCTACAAAGTGTTTTGAGATAGAATTAACAACTACCATGGATTGACTTTAAACAGGGCATATTATCCTCAGTAATCTAGAAGGGGGTGCTCCAGTCTGGTGACAAGGTTTAAGAGTAGGACTGGAATTCCTTGATAAAGAAGAAACTGCCAGAGGCAGTTTTACCTCTTGTCTGAGAGTTTTCAGCCAGACTGGCAGGGCCACATGGCTCCCATTTTTAGCTTTCGTGGCTCAAGGGTCCAAATTAAATATATGTATGTAGCTATTTTTACAAAGACAGAAAACAATTTTTAGCAATCAGAAGTGTATAGATTTCAGATTTGCCTGTCCAACTCTACAAATTACTTGAGTGGGTTCCTTATGCATTCCATGTGCATATTGTACTAGTTCTGGTATCTGCGTGGAACTTTGACCAGTCCAACTGCTTTCTATAAATGATACCATCCAACTTGTGCTGCTAGAAAACTGAAAGGTTAATCACTTCAAGTAAAGTAAAATTAGTACAGTATTTTGTGATAGCTGCCTGTCAGCCATGATATTGCCTAACCGTCTCAGTGACTCTGGAGCAGAAAAGGGTAGTGAGAATCAAGAAGAAGGGAAAAAAAATTCAGGAAAGACTTAGCTTCACTCTCCTCACTGAGACTTCTAGACACAACCTTCTTTTAGGATAGATTCATCCAAAGAGTGAAGATAAGGCTGTGAGGAAAAATGTGTACACTGGGCTGACTGTAGGACTGCTTTCCTGACTCACTGGCACCTGTCAGCATGGACCTCCTGGCATTGCTGGGACGTTGCATGTGTGTTTTCTGAATGAGTTTCTAGAGCTTTCTTCAGATTTTCCGAGTCTCTGGTACCAAAAGGATAAAAACTACAAATGACTGCACTTCAGGTGGATATTTGACTCACATATAACCCACTGTGTACACAGTCTTTCTGGTTTTTGTTGATAATCAGATGAAGTAAGTACTAGTATCTTATTTTGCAGATGAGAACACAGAACCTTTGAAAAGTGAAGTAATTTGTCCTGGGTTGGATTTGAACCCAGACCTGACAGCAAAGCACATGTTAAGGTAGGGTCTCTTCTGTCACTAGCCTCAGAAAATTAGAGGTGCTGCGTGACCCAAGGTACATGCCGAGCCTTTGCCCACTGGCCGGGCAAGAAAGTAATGGAGGTTGGCGACTGATTTTGTGGGGGGTCTTGTAGCCACAGCCTTCTAGGGTACCTCTGCGGAAGAGAGTGGGGAAGCGGAGAAGAGCGCTCCGGGAGGGGTGGGCGGGCTCTAAGAGTTTGAAAAGAGGAAGGAAGTGGGGCCCGGCAGAGTGCCTAGCCACCCCTGCTGGCTTCCCCACCGGAGGACGCGAGACGCTGAGGCCCGGCCCAGCCATGGCCCCCTGGCGCAAAACTGACAAGGAGCGGCATGGTGTGGGTAGGTGTGGGCACAAGTCCGCAGCAGAGGAGGGCAGGTGGCCAAAGAGCCGCAGGCAGGAGGATGCTGCGGCACCTGGGCGGGGTTAGGGCGCCTTTAGCCCGCTGTCGGACCGTTGGCTTCCCAGGGCCAGGTAGGGGAGAGGAAGATGGATACACCACCTGCAGTCTGTGCCCATCCTGGCCCAGCTCTCTGCCTGTTGCGGGCTGCCTCTGTCCCGTGCGTGTGCGATGGGTCAGACTGAGAGTTTGGCACCTGGCTCCTGGTGCCAGGCATGCTCTCACTGACAAGGGAGCCTGCCTTCTCCCCTAGCTAGGCCTGGGTGGGCTCAGCACACCTGCCACCACCCTTCCCCAAAGCTGTACGCATCTGTATCCCAGGTTCTCGCCTGTTCCTCCTGGGTCAGATGACCCCTTGAGATGGCACAGAGTCCAGAGGGCAGTGCAAGTTTGGGGTGTGCTTGGTGGGCGAGATCTTTCCCTCAGCTGAGCACCTCTGGGAAGAAAGGCCTCCTCGGAGCATCTGGGGGTAACCAAGAGGCAACCTTACTATCTTCAGCCATCTCAGCTCTTCAAGGCCTCGGTCTCAAGCTCTGGGCGGAAGTAGTGGCTGGGGGAAGGGAGGTGGCAGGTACTGTGACTCTTTCTAAGTGGCACCAGTGGTGCAATACTCAGAAACTTAAGTGTCAATGTAAAGCCTACTCTGGTGATTGCTACACAGGCCGATACCAGACTCCACCCCGGGGGTGATTTCAGGCACTTTCAATTACTCAGTGCGCAGAGTGATGACCTACAAGGGGTTCCCCAGGCCACTGGTCAGGAAACAGCCCCCCGAGAGCTCAACATTAACTGACTCATAGGTTAGGCGTTGAGAGGTGTGGTCCTTCTCCAGAGAGTAGATAACGAGCCAGCGCCTGCAGGGGGCTTGGTCAGTATCTGGCTACAGAATGGAAAGCTTGAGTCACATTCCATGAAGATCTTCTTAACATTAAAGCTTCTCTTACTGTGGCCCACCCAGCTGGTAGGTGTCAGGTTAAATACCCCAGGGAGCAGGGCGGCTTTAGAATGGGGCAGGCCACAGACCTGGAGGGACGAGTGTGGCACAGCACATGGAAGTGTGTGTGAAGAACACAGGAAGGAAGGAACTGCTGGCAACACTTTTTGCCTGGAGAAAGAGGTGCGATGAAGGCAGTGATTCAGCTCAGAGGAAACTGAAACTGTGCTTGGAGGGTTATTAATGCCAGGCTCAGGGGTTGGGGCCTTTTCTAGTCAGGCAGCAGGGACCCACCCATAGAGGGCTTCTGAGGAGGAGAGGGCAGGAAGAGATCTCCGGGCCAGTGTTGGGGGGACTGGGTAGACAAAAGAGCGAAGGTGCCAGGAAGCAGACAAAGGACAACAAGGGAGCCAGAATGCATGGGACAGCCACCTTGGTGTCCCTCTGAGGGCCACAGTCTGCATCTGCATGGCCTCTCGCTGTGACACGAAGTCATGGGCTGTAGTTCCAGACTGTTGTTTTGGATTCCAGTTTCCAACACTTTCCAGGTCTGTGACTTCAGGCAAGTTACCTTCTCCAGGTCCCAGTTTCCCTGTCTGTATAACAGGACGAATATGAGCACTTGCTTCCCACAGGTGTGAGATAAGCTAAATGAGTTTATCTGCAAAACATGCTCAGAATGGTGACTATACAAAGGAATTCTTAATTTTTTTTTTAATGTATTTGGTACAGGGTCTCATTACACAGCTTGGACTTGTAGTCATCCTCCTGTTTTCAGCCTCCCCAGTGCTGGGATTACAGGGTACACCACCACGCCGAGTCTCGGTGGCTGGCTCAGTGCACCCTGGGGCAGGGCTAGCGTGGCATGTGGTGCTGGGGATCAAACTCTGGTCCCTGTGCTTGCCTGAGCAGGCGCTTAGTATGCTTAGCTATCTCCTTGGCTCAAAGGAATTCTTAGTAAGTGTTACTATTATTGTTATTATCTTTTTAAACTTTGTCCCCCTTGGTCCTAGTTGAGGGTCCAGTGTCACAGAATGTGATGGGGCTACAGGATGAGTATGACTGTCACCTTCCCCCAGCTGACATTAGCCTGACTGCATGGATGTGGGTAGGATTCTATTAGCTCCAGAGCCTTCTTGATTTGAAGGCAGAACTGCTATTTTTATTGCCTGTTTATGAAGATGTGGGGCTTATTGAAGCCAGTCTGGGGCTTATTGAAGCCAGTCTGGGGCTAGGGAGATAGGTCGGAGGTCTAAGCACCCACCTGGCAAGTGTAAGGACCTGGGTTCGATACCCGGTAATGCATGCTGTGCAGCCCCAAAACCCCAGGTACACTGAGCTGCCCATTGAAACTTTGCCTGGTGGCAGAAGCCTGTATTCCCAGCACTGAGGAGG